CCCTTTTGGTATCCAGCGACAACTGTTCACCAAAGATGATTGTTTAGTCAGTTTCCTCTTTAATGCTGGTATGGTTATGAGGGAAAAGAGGGCTGGAAGGACGAAGCATAGACCCTGGAGCCACCAAATGCTTCCATAGTGACATCAACCTCCCAGTCCCATCGATACAACCCTCTCAGTTTCGCGGTTGTAGTCAGTCAGAAATTTTAACCAAAAATGATAGATCTTTGACATTGATGGTTACACAAACAAGATAGACGAAGTAAATAATTACTTATATAATTGATTTAGATATAGTTAACTAACACCGCCATAGCTCAATTATGGAAGTCATTAGTGCAGATTGGAAACGAAACCAAACTAATCAACTCTCACTGAGTGTAAGTATGTGTGTTTTTTTCCTCTAATTTTCTCTATCCTTTTAGCATACAGTAGATTCTTTATACTACACACTATACAATGGCTAAGGTTTCAAAACATTCTTGTCTACCTTAAACCTTATAAAGTCCACCTACTTGAGAAAAGAGTGGATTGTGATATTATCTTTCAAAAATCCTAACGACAATAAAAGGATTAAAAAAAACACACACACGCAATAAAAGAGCCAGTGAACAAAATATATAACCCGAGCATCTCTTGACTCTACAATTTCATCTCTGGGTAGTTAGAATCGTTTTTTTTTTTTACATCTACAACATCAATACCTGTATGTATATCCCTCTAGCCAGCAGCAGTTCCTCGCACAGTGTTGACACAGTATTAGTCTCTCGTCTCTCCTACGGGAACAAGCCAACATACACAGTAGTGAAGTATCTATCAAGTTATTGTGTTATAAAGAAGTTTTATTTTATTTTGAATATAATTGTCTCGTGTTTTAATTGTTGTTGAAGTGTTCTCTGTTCTCCTGTTCGCGTGTTCAGTTTATTTTCCTATATAATGTTATATTTTTTATCTTAACTAGGTAGGTAAGGATCACGAGCTGGGAAGTCGAGGCATAGTCCAAGCGAGGGGGGGAGTGTTAGAAATCTTCCTAGCTGGGATTTATTCACATGGAGCCTGGAGCATATGGTAAGTAATTAGTTCGGGAAGATTTATGTTCGTATGATTGGAGGTATGATGAGTGAGGTAGACCGCAAGATAGTTGGAGAGTTATTGAGTTGTTAAGATCTTGGGATATTTTAGGTGAATCTAGAGTGTTGTGAGATGCTGTGTGGTGGAGTGGTCTTGTGTACTCTATGGTCTGAATCTCTCGTCTTATGTGTAGAGTGAACAGCTGTTAAGTCTTGTGGTTAATGATGAAGTTTCCAAAAACGAATTCTGTACATTTTAATATTACTCGAGAATCCGCTCGGAAGGTCTTAAAGGCCTGATTAACTTGATCCATGACCAGTGAATGGATAAAGAGTAAAACCATCACAAACAATCAGATCAACGAAGAGAGGCGCCAGCTTACCTAACTCAAGAAAGTTTATAACCATGTATGATAAATTGAGTTCAAATAATGAATTTACATCCCATATAATTAAAATAAGTGACTATTTTAATTTAGATACCACAAGTTGCGTAAATTTTTATTTTTATTTATTTTATTTATGGTCAATACGTGTGTGTGTATGTGTGTGTGTGTGTGTGTGTGTGTGTGTGTGTGTGTGTGTGTGTGTGTGTGTGTGTGTGTGTGTGTGTGTTTAACGTAAGGAAGCCATACATGTAGGCTTAGACAGCAACATACAAAATAAAAGTTCACAAATTAAAAGGTACGGCAAATCGTTTTCTCTTACAGCAAATGAAATCGTTTTAGAAAACGGGATGCTGGGACAATGGGATGACTACTGTGCACGTTACTTAGATAGTAGAGTACCCAGAGACAACTTCCAAAGACCGGTAAGGAATTATTTGTCTCACTTCCAATTTAAGTGGGAATCAAACCCTGATCAGTGTTGTGAGTGGGAATTAACTTACGTTGCATCACAGTCACGCCAATGGTCTGTGTCTGGGACTATTAGGTTTGTGAGCTATTAGTTTTGGGAACCATTTAGAATAGAGCCCATTCAGATTCGTTTGATAAAATGTCCATTCTATTTACTAACAAATGAATGGTAGTTATGTTTGCTATCAATGATAATGACTGCCGCTTTATGCCTCAGTTTTATATTACCCATCATCCATCACCACAGAGCTGTGTAACGTTAGCATTACCCAACAGTAAACACAATGCGTCAGTCACGTCTATATATTCGGATGGTTAGGTTGTCTGAAACTAACCTAACCTAACGCCAGATGATGTTATTTAATAGAGTGAGGGTTAATACATAAGGGTTTAATAGACTATCTCCACTAATACAGAGGTCACTGGAAACCTATATGTCATGTATGTTGTTTCATGAAAGCGTGTGGGTGAACATTTCGGTGTGAATCGTAGAGCAAATATTGAGGAAGGTCCAGAGGCTCTAGTTGTCAGGTCTGAGAGGATGTCTTTCTACTGTATTCGCTTTATATGTCTATTTGTATGTCTAACTGTCTATTTGTCTGTGTGTTTACCTGTTTCACCCCTTCTGTCTTTTCATTTCACCTTGCTATTGGTGATTTAGTCAACGACACATCATTTTTCCATTTACAAATCATTTTTGATGAGTTGAAGCGATGGGTTCAACAGCAGAGTTATTGGAAATGTCATTGTAAAACTCAAAGGGGCTATTAATAGGTCTTACTGCTCACTCCGCTGGGAAAATTTTATCAAACTTTACTCTAAATTGTTGAAATAATATTAAATAACAAGTGTCTTATCTTTTCTCAGGGAGGAGGTATTTCATGATACAATTGTAGCAGATTTCACCAAATATTCACTCAAAATTGAAAAAAAAAAAGACAGGTTAAGTGCATATGATAGAAAAAAAAGACTTTACCTCTCAAATACCAATGATAAGCTGGGGTAAGGTGGTCAGGCAACGTGAGGTTCATCCCTATTGGGTGAGTTAAGGACGGCCACTCCTGTATATGATCTACATAAAGAAAACTAAGAAAACAAGTTACTAGAAATTAAAAAAACAAAGAAATACAGCTCACTCCGACCTTTATATGGTACGCGTGTCATAACTGGCGCTACAATATAGACATAAGACCTCTCCTCTCAACCTGAATCCTACACGGTATATGGCATCACCTTTAGCTTTCCAAATAACACGGAATATAACAAACGAGGGCACACACACACACACACACACACACACACACACACACACACACACACACACACACACACACAACTACACACACAACTACTACTACTTTGCTGTCACTCGGAAGTGAGTATGACGATCATCCAGCTATGATACAATGATATGAGTTAATAGGAATGTCACCTAGGTTGGTGAGTTTTGAGGTGACTAAAGAAGCCCATACGGGACCGGCAGAGTTGTTCACAGATGTTGCACATGTGGAGGACTACATCGAGTGCGGGAGGGGCGGTGGCTGCGTCTTTCCGGCGTTGGCGCTTGTCTGCCTCGGTTTGTAGTCGGGCAAACTCTAAAGTCTTGACACCTCTTGTGGTGATCCTCCAAGCGTTACGATGTGGAGTAATCGTCTCCCAGGTGAGGGGGTCGATTTGGCACTTTTTCAGGTTTGTCTTAAGACTATCCTTACACCTTTTCAGTTGCCCGCCGGCGTTACGTTTACTATTCGTTAGGTGACTGTAAAGTAGCTGCTTTGGCAGTCTACTGTCGTCCATGCAGGCAACATGGCCAGTCCAGCGCAGGTATTCATGGATAATGGTAGCCTCGATGCTCCTACAGTTGGTGTCAGCATGAATACTGGCATTTGTTCTCTTGTCTTTCCAGCTAACTCGGAGGATGGAACGTAGACTACGTTGGTGAAAGTTTTCAAGTGCCTTGAAAGTGCCTGTATGTAACCCATGTCTCACTGCCATATAGCAGGGTGGGGAGGACCACGTGTAACTTTGCAGATAATTTCAGCTCCCTACAGCTGAAGACACGGTTTCGGAGTCTGCCAAAGGCTTGGGATATACATCTTATCCGATGCTGAATCTCTTCATCGATGTCCGCGGTGGTGGACAGGTGGGAGCCGAGATACCGAAAGTGGACAACATTAAAGAGGGTAGTACTATTAAGCCGGATAGATGGTGGTGTGGTGTCTGAACCTGCGGCAGGTTGAAAGAGAATGAGTCTTACGTACATTCACCTGAAGGCTGAAGTGTGCATACGCATCTGCGTAGGTGTTCAGGATCTCCTGCAGGTCGCGTTCAGTGTGAGTATCAAGAGTGAGGTTGTCTGCATACTGAAGTTCAGTAATAGAAGCTGCCTGGAGTCGTCTTATGTTGAAAAGACCCTTCATCCGGTAATCGATGTCCACCCCACCGGCAAAATTGGCACTGGCACGAGTATGGAAGGCAGCCAAGAAAATTGTAAAGAGAGTTAGTACTAGCGCGCACACACGCACACACACACACGCACACGCACACGCACACGCACACACACACACACACACATACCCACACACACACACACACACCTTGATTTATTTTTGGCACTAAACTTGTGGTCCAAATAACGACGTACTGTACTTTACTGTTGTGAAAATTAGGGTCATACACAAGAGGAGGCTTTCTTCCTTTTGTGTGTTGATGAAAATATATTTTTGTAGATCATACACATGAAGTATAGAAGACGTGTTAAGCAGACATACTGTATACTTTACAGAGTCCATTTAGTATTGATATTTAAGTCAAGGTATTGCATAAGAGATATGTCAGTGTTACAAATGTTACGGTATTTTCAATTTTGAAATATATTTAATTATTTTAACTAGCGCTTTGCGGTTAAATGTAAATTTTGCATTGATATTGACAAAAATACATATGATAGGAAATAATGGACACGTTTACCAAAATCAAGGTGTGTACTAATAGACTAAATAAGAAAATAAACAATAAAGCTGAAGTCGTAGTCGGTAGAGCATTCCGAACGTGGGTCCGTTGTCATGGTGATGAGGACGCCAATACTATCAACACTTGCCGAAGTGCTCTGGGCCAAGAAATCGTATACACCCTGCGCTTTAGTTGAGATTGTACTAAGTGTAAGTAACAGTCTTTCACGAAAGGTGTTGATGTAGGATCTGGGTTGTTACGAATTTAGGAGTGTTATATGAATTAAAAATAGATTGTGTTTGGTATATTAAAAATCCACAGCAGTTATGTATCGAATATTTAATATAATTTTTTTGATTTAATTCATTTATGCATGGGCACATATAACGGTAGGAAAATGGAAGAGGGAAAGACTGATAGATCATGGAAAAGGGGAAAAAAGGAAGAGGGATAGAAAGAGTTGTTGGGATAGATGAAGAGAAGAACTGGGATATATTTATGACTTATACTACTTTTGTCTATTAAGAGCACAGCACCAAGGATAGATAAGTGTTAACTGAGATTACGAGATTACAGCGCTTACTCTGCACTAGTTGGAGTAAAATAGTATAATATAAAGTTCCCCCCCCCAAAAAAAAAGCTGTAGTGTTTGGGGCCACCTGATAGTACAAACAAATGACCCTTAACTGTTGTTGTCTTGACCTTTGACCTCCTTGGTTTAATATCTCGTCCTCCTGAAAGTTTAATAAAAGACAAGTCAAAAACAATTTTCTTTAGAATTTGTTTGATGTGAACATGTATAAGAAATGTCTCCCCAAACAGACAGAAGTTAATGGTATTGATAGGTAAGTGATATACCTCTTTATCCCCAGTGTTTAAAGTCAGAGAAAGTGAAGTCTTTTTTTTTTGTCGTGTTCTTTCATTTGCATTATCGGCCGTGACCTATTTTGACCCAGCCGTTGTCACCAGCTCGGAATAAAAGAAACTTTACCCTCTAAATAAACTTTGAGTATAACAATTTAAGCCCTCGACTATGATGAGTCAACCTACTGTATCATAATTCCATTCAATAAGTATTGGGTTTCTTTAGTTGGTCTATGAATGAAATCTATTTTGGTTTTATCTCTGCTTCAGGAGTGATGACGACCGTCGACCACTAATACGGGGTCTAGTTCATGTTTGTGGAGTCACTAGTGCAGGCAAGATGTCGGTCGTGCTGAGGAAGAAAGAATCTGAATTAAAGGTAATGTATTTCAGATTTATTCTCACGTTTCTTTCATTAATGACAAAAAACACAGACAAAAAATAACCAAAGATTAATTTTAAGTTGATAATGTAATTTACTATGAACTGATTCTCTGTGATCTTCGGTTTATTTTTATTATCTTATTTTTTAGTTATACTTTTTTTTAGATAATTTCTGTTGTTATCACTTACCCCTTATTATTAATTTCTTACGTTATCCATATTCTATCATTATCTTCATTGTTCATCTTACACAATTACTGCCAATGTCTCTCCCATAAGGCAAGGGAGAAAAAAATCTCACAAGATCTACTTCACTGTCTTTCTGTCTATCTCTCGCTCTAACTTTATTTTCTTTCTGCCTTACTCTCATACCATTCTCTCTTTCCTTTTCCTCCTCTTTATCCCTATCTCAATATCTCCACCAGGGTAGGAGTGCCAGGTTCCACAAGGTGCCAGCCCAGCTACTGCTCTCCATCCACCCTGACCCCAGCCTCCTGCAACAGTTCGTTCCTATGGAGACTCAAGATGTCGCTATACAGTCCGTACCTAAGATGTCGCAGCACGAGGTGAGGCAGTCAGGTAGGGAGGTGAGGCAGGTAGGGAGGGAGGTGAGGCAGGTAGGGAGGGAGGAAGGTAGGGAGGTGAGGTAAGTAGGGAGGTAGGTAGGGAGGTAGGTTGGTAGGTAGGGAGTGAAGTATGGAGGCAAGAAAGTGAGGCAGGTAGGTAGGTAGGTAGGTAGGTAGGTTGGGGAGGCAAGTAGGGAGGAATGGGGAGAGGGAAGGGTGTATAAAAGAAGAAAAGAGGGAGGAGTGTGTAAGAAGAGCAAAGAGAGAGGGAGGGATTATGAGAGAATTGGTAATGTGAGAGGAGGCAGAAAGGAGGCAGGAATAGATGGAAAGTGAGAAATTAGAAAGGAAAGTCAAATAGGGTGGATAGAGAAACTTAGTGGACCGAAAACAGAGTGAGAGATTGATGAACAGGCCGAATAATGAACTAACCGTACCGAGGACTGGATAAACGAACGGATAGCCGAATGAAGCTTAAAGGTATAAAAATGGTAGATAATTACAGATAAAAACACCCAAAGGTGCAGCAGTGCTCATTATTTCCAATACCTGCGAGGGCATATGAAGAAGTGAAAGGGCTAAGGAGACATGGGATAAAATCTGGTACACAATTAGTGGTAATGATGAACCTCTGGGGGGGGGGGAGGGGTATTACCAATGCTCTATGTAAAGATGAATTGATAAGAATCGTCCCTCCCTTTGTCTCTCTGCAAATCTCTTTCTTAATCAACTCCTTTGCCATTCTCTTGCTTGTTATTAAAGTTAGCTGTTCTCTGAAGGTTGTTTTGAGACGTTAATTTTGCATCTTAGGTTACACGTGTTGAGTATGAGAAAATAGTCTCATCGTTATCCCGAGTGATTCTTTGTATGTCTTCCTGGTAGTTGTTGATGGGTTTTTTTTTGTGTGTATTCCTGGTAGTTGTTGATGGTGTATGTACTATGTGTGTTCCCGGTAAACATGCGTCAGTAGTGTCACGTACCATGTATCAGGGAGTTAGTATAGATTATTTGGGTACTCCTGAGCAATATGATTCCGAGTCTATGGACCACGATTCGATTGCAGAGTAATTAGTAGTCGTAGTAAAGCTTGGAAGATTTTAATGACATTTTTAAAATGCTAATTACTCGCCAACTATGGGGTTTCAAGGTGCGATTTGGTGTTTGAGTGTTGCAGACTTGTTGCAGGCGTACTGTAGACTTGTTGCAGGCGTACTGTAGACTTGTTGCAGGGGTTTTAAAGATGTTGCCGGCGTGTTGCAGGCGTACTGTAGATGTGTTGCAGGGGTGTTAAAGATGTTGCCGGCGTGTTGCAGGTGTTTAGGAAGCAGACTTGTTGCAGAGGTGTAGTAGGTGTGTTGCAGGCATGTTGCAGACGTGTTGCAGGCATGTTGTAGTCGTGTTGTAGATGTTTTGCAAGCGTATTGCAGGCGTACTGTAGACGTGTTGCAGATGTGTTGCAAGCGTGTTTAATTTGTTAAAACCCCTAAGTTCTAATTCCGAGAGAAAAGTATATTTCGGGCAAAATATTCGGAAGCCATTAGGCTTACAGTTTCAGCAGGTGTTCTTATATTTCAGCTGCAGCTAACTACTACCCTTGTGCATCTTCCTATCAGGTGAACACAGAGACCATTGACTTCGCGTGCGCTGGGATGAACCACACGGAAGGAGGCTGGCCTAAGGACGTGTCGCTGACGGAGGACGACCAGAAGATCCGTTACAAGAAAAAGATCGAGAAGGATGACTACTACATCCACGCTATGCTACAGCTCGGAGCGGTGAGCCACATTGTGAACTATCTGGTCCTTTTCTTAGTTATTGAATGAATTAAATTTATTTATGGCAAGTGAATGTATAAGTGGCTCTTATAGGCATTTTAGTTGGATCATAAATGGTCTCGTGACCATTTTTTCAGAGGGTCAAATTTAAAATGGTTGACACCATTTGATCCAGTGCATATAGACACACGTTTTGGTGGCTATTCTGACTGTTTTTCACATAATATTTACGATGAAATATGAAATGAGACATTTTAAGGTCAATAACATGGATATCCAAGATTAGCGATCGAGGCAAGCATAAATTCTTCAGGAGTTGCTCGCAGTGCACAGATGACAGCAGATACCTTTACCCCCTTACAGGTTGTAAGGTTTTTATGGTCACGGAAAAAATTCCATCTTTGATTTGGGAAGTGCTGTCCATTAAGGTACAGTACATAAAACCAGGGTCACCAGTGACAATGAGACCACACAAAATATCAAGCAGTGACTCAAGTGAATTTGATGAATTAAACCCAGTATTATTGTCAAGTAGCGAATCTTAATTGGACTGGGATTCGTAATATGAATCTCCTATTACGTGCTTTGGATTATTTTTACTTTATGTATTGATGACCATGATTTAAATAGACAAACTAGGTGATAATTTAATTTCTTTCAGTGAGATCAGTACCGGAGGAAATTGAGACTGTAAATATTGCCTTTTTATTCATATTTTTTAGGAAACCATCTTGGACGTGAGCATGAACTTGGTCTTGTGTCACATATATCATGTCAAATGCAATCTAAATAAAAATACAGAATGCATTTCTATATTTTAACACAAGATGTAGAGATTTTTATGTTTCACTTTATATTTTGGACAGCCATCTTGAATTTTGTCGATGCCGTTTACCTTGGAATGTCTAAATTCATATTCCATCGTAACTATTATGTGAAAGATAATAAACTTAAACACCAAGAACGTGTTTCTATCTGCAATGGATCAAAAGTTATGGCAGTTTACGTATTTCACTCAAATTTGTGAAGGCTTATTTGAATTTGGCCCTCTGGTGGTGTTAGTCCACAGTTTTGTGAGGTACTATACATTGTAGCTAAATTTCTTTTAAAGTTATGATGAATCAAAACCAACTGTCAACCCTTGCTCTGGACAAAATGATTAGGAACCATCATTTATGCATGCTATTTGGTTCACAAAGAAACAATCGATCACTTTCTATTCAATTGTGAAATTAGATTTCTCTTCACAGGTCGAATTATTGATGGGTTTGGGAAGGGGGGCTTCAGCAATAAAGGCTTTACAGCCATTTTTCCCGGCCTGGTTGACCTTAGGGTAGGAGGCGAGCGCAATATTCACTCAACCACAGGACTACAAGCTAAATAATGAAAGTCTCATTTTCAGGAGACCATTGTATAGGCCTATAGTTACAATTTCCCTGAATTACACCTGTCCCAATGAATTGGAATGCTAACAAAATATGAGAACTGTTATTAGATAAAAAAATTTTCATTGTGATTCACTGATTCTCAAACAAAATGTTTCTGTAGAATGTGCTAAGGTAAGAAGGCTGTGACTATGAAAATCCTTCTTCTATAAGTAAGAATTATTTTACCTGTACAGTATGACTATGGGAACCATATTTCCTTCTTTCTCTTTAAATAAAGTCATTAACATTTTTGCATTATCATCTTGTTATATCTATTCATCTTATGATACTTATATATGTGGCATTAATCTATTGTTTCATCCAGATAACGTTAATTCCTAAGCATGACTTGTGATTTCAGAAAATCGAACACTGTATCAGGCAAAACAACGCAATCGACATCTATGAAATGTATTTTGAAAACGAAGAGAGCCCGATGGTAGAGGAACCTGAACCAATTAAAACAGTGAACGTGATCAGGGATCCTCACGCTGGCCAGCGTATGGTCACGTCTCTCAGCTTCGCCCCTGAGGGAGGACACAAGATAGCTGCTTCTTATTCCTCCTCCAAGTTTATGGGACTGAAAGAAGGAATACCCAAAGAATCTTACGTTTGGGATATAAGTAAGGCCATTCATTATCTTCAGAGTAAACGAGTAAATAAATAAAGGCAGAAGAGAGGCAGAGTAAGAAAATAAAAGATAATTAAATAACGATATACTGTAGATGTACAGAGAGGGAAAGGTTATTTTTGTTGCCGAAGAATTATTAAACCTAGAACACGTCCTCGAATGGCATAAAAAACAAACAGATATCAATGTACTTGCCATCAAGAAGTTTCTACTACCTACGTGTTCGTTTTCTGAGAACTAAAAATATTTTCCCTTCGTTATTTCTGCTCCCATATAATGTATCTTCGGGGTGATGACGTCACGTTTGTTTATCTAGACTTTCATCCCCTTAATGGGCAATATTGTAATCAGGGCTAGTGGTGTTACTACATGTACTCAGGGATAGTGGTGTTACTACTTGTACTCAAGGCTAGTAGTGTTATTACATGTATTCAGGGATAGTGGTGTTACTACTTGTACTCAAGGCTAGTAGTGTTATTACATGTACTCAGGGATAGTGGTGTTACTACATGTACTCCGGGCTAGTGGTGTTACTGCATGTACTCAGGGCTAATTGTAAGCAACATCTTGATCTGCCTAATGCTTATCCGGGCATCTCTAGACTGATATATAATTTGTAATCCAGCAAATAACAAACTACTGGATAACCAACTGACATATCTATCAATAGCCAAACTAGCAGCTCATCAATCACCTTGCCTATCAAATAATCTAACATTCTATCAGATAATTAATTTCTATCGGATACTAAACTGGTAGACATAATTTATTAAGTGACAGCAAATCAATTATCTTGTTGGACAGACACGAGCAGTCACCCCGAGCTGGAGTTAGTGGGACCAGCGTGGATCCAGTGTCTGCAGTACAACATAAAGGACAACAACGTAATAGCTGCAGGTGTGTGTGTGTGTGTGTGTGTGCGTGTGGCAGTATTATGTTAGTATTAAGGTGCAAGCACTACTTGCTCCCTCTCGCTTTCAGCTACTGCCGCTGGCTAGCCCTCGTGTCGAACAGGGAAGCAACTTCACCATCAAGACTCCTGCTGTGCCTCCTCGTGACAACACACGGTAACTGGATGTCTTGTGGGCCCAGACTAGTCCAGCAGGGGATCTCGGAGTAGCAGTGGCTCCCAGAGGGATGGCACATAGGCCCACTGGCATGTGGACTCGCCCAGGCGCCTACCAACCACTGCCCCGCTTATTTGTTGTATTGAAGAAAGAGGCATCCGTATCCCACATGAACCAGTCGGCTTATCTGTCACCACGGTGTTTGAATATCAGTAAAAGATAAATTACTAAATAATTTGAGTATCGGCTGGCTATCACATTCCTAACCTGTTTTGTAAAATGAGTCTCTGTCGGGACAACTTATGTTTCTGATAATAATGGATTTTGACATTTGATATCACGAATTATATAAGTATAATGGTAGCATTCATTTTTATTTTAAAGTGTCGAAGCTCAGTTACACAGAAATTTCCTGAATTGATTCAAAACCAAAATTGAAATTAATTTGAAATAATGTTGTGAATTTGCTTTTAAGTTATGAAAGTCCATAAGATATAGAGGCTTTAAGAATACGGACAGACGACTATCATCCTTATCAAGACGAGACATCTCTCACTCCCATTATGTGTAGAGAGACGAAGATTGAATCACGTCACCAAATAATATACACCCGACAACGTTACTTCTTGTTCTCGTAAACTGTGAGTCGTGAAAGAAAAAACAACATAATCTAAGGAGACGAGGGCGCTGAGAGACAAGGGGCGAAACTGAGACTGGTATTTTCATTTACTTCGTACCTACTCCTGTTGTGTTGTTGGAGGACATGCAGAGAGAGAGAGAGAGAGAGAGAGAGAGAGAGAGAGAGAGAGAGAGAGAGAGAAAATACACTTTTGACCGGCATCTCCAAAGTCAGTTATATTATTTGGTAATGTTTTCTTTGTCTGTGTTTGTGTTTTGTTTAGCAGTTTACCGATTTAACTTTCTGCTTCTTTGATTATCATCTTTTTTACCTGTTTACTTATCTTCTTTTCCAGCGTCTAATATGTTCTCTTTGCGTCTTGATATTTGTCTTTTTCTGTCTCTACTTTTCCAAATTCCTGATATAGATCTGCCTCTGCACCCAGACCTAAATTTGTTCTTTGCATAACTCGCACAATTTTGATGCTCGCTCCCTGTTACACAGCCCTCAAGAACAGATAGGTTAAAAGTCAGAGATTACACCTGCACCACACCTGCTCTACGTAGGTCTCCTCTCCCACAGGTGTGAGGAAAGAACTTACATTAAACTCATGTGACACTGTACAGTGTACAGTACCACACATGTCCTATCTTACAGGTATACCACTCTGGTTCTACACCTGCATTACATGTATATAGGGATGTATAGAGCCTGCATATGCAGTACACTATGCAGATTCTACACCACCACCAGACCTGCACTACACATGTATTTTGCCCCCAACAGGTGTGAGCAACGGGCAGGTGGCGTGGTGGGATGTGCGGCAGGGGTCGAGGCCGGTAGAGTCGACGGGGCTTGAGGTGAGCCACACCCAGATGGTAACAGCCCTCACCTGGATGGCCCACAAGACCCGCACTGAGCTCTTCTCTGTCTCCACTGACGGCCAGGTGAGTCCTATCACCAAATACAACTAGATTAAACGAGGAAATTTACGATAGGCTTCACTGATTATTTTTTCCTGTTTGAAAAAAATTATCTCAGCAGAAATATGGAAATAGTTATTTTGAATTTCCATCAGTTCGGTAGACTACAAGTACAGTCACGTAACGATTGCTCTGTAAACAAATATATAAAATTCGCTAGTTTAAGGGTACTTCTGTTCTTAAAATTACATTGTTATTGGAATTTCATCCATCGTATGAACAATGGAGACTGATCTATGCAAAGATTTGTTAATAATTATTGATTTATTACCTGTCCACAACCCAGAATTTTGGTAATGAACAGATCTCGATTAATGATGCACAAATGAAATTTTTCTTAGGTAAACAATAGCCTTACCAAGTGACCAAGAATGATTGGGATTCTCGTTAACGACTCGGCTCGTTAGCACCTGCACTTTTGTTCGACTTGTTTAAGATTACTATAGGTTATTACAAGTCAGTCAGGTGATAGTGAGGAATAAACATACTTAGAACGGTAGGAAATTGATGAATAATGACGATCAAGTTAACCGCTGATGCGTCCATTGTTTTTTACTCTCTAACCTGTTCTACTTTCTTGTTTTCTCTTTCTTTCCCACCATCCATCTACAGTATAACTGAGTCATAACGACATCCTCCTCAGGTCTTGTGGTGGGACACCCGCAAGCTCTCTCAGCCCACGGACAGCCTGGTTCTCGACCCCTTGAGAGAAGACCCTCCTAACCACGGGCGGGCCTTGAGTGCCACCTGTCTGGAGTACGAGGCCACTATGCCCACAAAGCTTATGGTAGCCACGGAACAGGGCCAAGTGGTGGCCTGCAACAGGAGAGCCAGAAGTCCCCCTGATAGGATCAGTGAGTTCCTTTTGGTCAGACAACAAAACATAATGTGATAGGACAGCTGAAAGGACGGGGTCACGAAGTATATAAAGGGTAAATAGATGGCATGAAAGATTATGCTTAAAAATTGTATATGGTCAAACGGAAAGTTGGTTCGAAGGAAAATGTGGAAGGAAAATGGTTCAAGGTTATATTGAATCAGGCGGTAGACAGATGGTGTGAAGGACAGATGTAAAAGGTATATAAGACAATAGACAGGTGGTGCTGAAAGATGCTCTTTGACTGGACGGCTGATTCTGATAGAGTATATAAGGGTGATTCAACAAAGAGTACATTAAATTGGAGGATGAAATCCTTGGATAATTCTAAACCACAATGTCTCTATGGTAAAATGTCAGGTTCTGCATATGCCCACGTCTTCGTGACAGGTGCAAGCAAATTAAACATAGTCCAGGCATTCTGGAACGCGCCAGACAATCAAAGTGGAGGTCTGTGAATAAATGATCTAAAAAACCTATGGGAGTTTCACTTTAAATTCACTCTCATTAATACAATATCTTAAATGTATTGTAACATGGAAACTATGGAGAATCTGATATTTTACCACAGACACATTGTGGTTTAGAATTATCCAACGATTTCACCCTCCAATTTAATGTACTCTTTGCTTAATCACCCTGTATAAGTACACTGAAGGTGCTGCTAAGAGAATTCGTAGACAGGCAGATGCTATCAGAAAACATGTTAGTTAGTAGAAGGTGCAGATATAAATATCAGTGGGTAGACGGATGTTACAGATAAGATTATTTGTATCTAGATAGGTGAGAAGGTTTTAGACAGTGTACATCGACCAGCACTCTAGATCAGGCATAGGCAACCTTTCCTCAGTCATGGGCCGCATTACGAAGTAGGTATTTTTATGCGGGCCTACTTATCCCAAAATAATGTTAATATTGCATTAGCACAGACAGTGAAATTGTTTATCTTCACGTCTACCTGTGGTCCACGATTCGATTGCACGGTAATTAGTGGCTGTAATGATGCTTGGAAGTACGTAATTAGATAACCCTTTAAATTCTAATTCTAAGAGAAAGGTATATTTTGGCCAAAAATTAGATTTCGTTTAAAATCCCCGTATAGGTACTCCTGGGCATGCTAATTCCGAATCTATGGTCCACGATTCGATTACGGGATAATTAGTGGTCGTAATGACGCTTGAAATATTTTAATGACATTATTTAAACGCTAATTACTCGCCAAGTATGTGATTTCAGTGCTTTTGTGTTATTCTGAAATTTCTTAATTAGTTAAAACCAGTGTGACCACCGACCGTGCCCCACTTGGACAAACCTAACCTTAGTGAATTCCCCATTGACCCACTGCCACATAGACGCTAATCCATCAAACAAAACGCGCCGAACTTGGCCCATAAGCTCGCACTAGTTAAAATTTGTATATTATTTATTATATATACTTATTTCACCGCTATATTTTCGTAGTTTCTTACTCTTAGGTGATGAAGCTGTAACGAATTATGTGTGAAGATTTTTCTTTTAATAAATATTGCTTTACTCACCATAAACTGGTTGCCTCTACCTGAACCACGGGCCACATTAAATAGAATCTCAATCACTCCACGGGCCGCATAAACACATGGTCCGGGCCTCGGGTTGCCCATGCCTGTTCTACGATGTTACGGACTACTGGGAAAGGAAAACATGTCAGGCTACTCGGAGGAATGTACGGTGGCAGTAGATGTCGTATTAATTAATGTCGACGATTAAATCTCACCTGAATTTCACGTTAAGCCACAAAACATTCCAAAGTAAGTTGTATGAGAACTAAATCATGGTCAAACTTCTCTTATTATCTACTTCAATGTCCAGGTATGATCTACAACGCCCACATCGCGCCCATCTACTCCATCCAGAGAAACCCTTTCTTCCTCAAGAACTTCATGACGGTGGGTGATTGGACCATTAAGTTGTGGGCGGAGGATTTTAAGGAGTCACCTGTGTTGTGGACTAAACCCGCCTCCTCACAGGTAAATCCAGCAATGTAAACCCACCTAGATAAACCCAAGTAAACCCATCTATAGTAAATCCACCCAGGTAAACCCCTCTTACTAAACCCATCCCAGGAAAATCGACTCAACTGATGCTATTTTTGTAAGCTAGTTTAGCGAAGTCATAAAGGCATGTTAACTCTGGAAGGAAGTCATAAGTAGGAAAATAATCCACAGTTTGATAATTCAAAAGGTAAATTCCAAAAGATAAAATCAAATTTCCTTTGTTTTCAAGGAGATAAACCATAGGAAAAAATAGGGAAGGATATCATAGGTAAATCCAGGAGGTGAAATTGCAAGTAAATTAAAAAACAAAAATCACAGCTACACCCTATAAGGTAAACTGCAAATTCAGCTTAATGCAAGGCAAAAAAAAAAAAAAACCCACAATGGCAATAAACCATATACGGTATATTTTATGAGGGTAAACCATAGATTAAAACCTAAAAGCAAAACAAAATATAATTCACAGACATAACCTTCAGAGTAAAAGCTGATGAGGTTAAATTTGAGGTCAACTCATTTGGATAATTCACAAAAGTGGGCAAAAGAAAGATCCGAACTTCTATAGACTAATCCTCTTTATGCCCCAAGGATATGAACGACACAAATAGGATAGAAAATAACTGTATTCCCCCAGATGCGCAGTGGGTGTTGGAGCGCGTCGCGGTCCTCCGTACTCTTCACGGCACGATTGGATGGTGCACTAGACGCCTGGGACTTCCTCACATCCTGGAGTAAACCTGCTTCTACCTGTCAGGTCAGTGTGTGAGTGTGTGTGGGCAGCATTTTCCATATACCTACCTACCTGCCCATCTACCTACCGACCAAATACCTAAATACCTACCTACACATACTTACCAAACCTATCAAATATCTACCTGCCTCCCTCCCTCCCTCCCTCCAAATAGCTACCTACCTACCTCCCTGCCTGCCCATATACTGGCACGACAAATAGCCAGCCAACTCGGCAAATAGGCAGGCAGGCAGCCCGTCAAATAGACAGGCAGGAGACATTATCCCAGTCAACGCAATGCTTATTACTTCTCATATGAACGAACAGAGCATTGGATTCCTGGCCTGTCCTAACACTATATATATATATATATATATATATATATATATATATATATATATATATATATATATATATATATATATATATATATATATATATATATATATATATATATATATATATATATATATAAATGCTGTTTAAGTCTAGTTACAAGATCATTACCTGTCTGGCCTAAGTAGAATATATTACATTCCTTGCAAGGAACCTTGTAAATGCAGCCTACATTGTTGAGGGAGTTCTTGATTAACATTTGTTTTACAGGGACTTGATCTCACTCTCCTCTACTGTATATATTAGCCTTGTCAAGTATTTCTCCTTAGTCTGTACTCACCCCTGAAGATGTGAATTACACGAAAGCGCTTGTGGTTATCAGCATATACCTGGATCACGCGCACCTACAGTGAATTACTTGCGCACACACACACACACACACACAATGTGTGTATACATATATGTGTGTGTGTGTGTGTTTCAGCTATACACGTATGTACAGCTAAAATAACAATAGGAGGCCATTTAATAATTTTCATTGTGATTTCTAAATAGATTTCTACATTAGTGTCTTTTGAAGTCCGCGTGGGGGTGTTTTGTCAAAGGCTTGGAGTACTCGCTCTTTCTTTAACAAATATCCAGAATCTATCATCGTAATATAACTGCAATCGGCGGCACATTGTTTTCAATTTTGAGTTACACCCTCGTAGACCGATAATTGACTTGGTATCGTTCAAAGCTAAAGGTCCAGTAGCAGCATCAGCAAGTTACATTGATCTTGAATTAAAGTTATACTGTACAGTGAGGAACACAGTCAGGTTATCTTGGATCCTGTTCTAGGTAATATGATCATAGTCTTGTTATCATGATCTTGGTTTAATTATTCTGGATCATAATCTGGTTTCATGATCATAGCGCAGTTATTGTGGTCTGGTTATCATGAATCTTCATTAACTCATTATGGAACCGCCAAGATATTATTGATCACAATCACACCTAATCAGGTTATTTGTCCCTGGACTATATCATTATATCGCTCTATAATCTCATTAATAATCTGTCAAAGTATTGATCCAGGAACGGCTAGGTCAGTTCATTAAGAAGTAAGTGGCTGCCTTGGTGATAGAGGTTATCAAGCGAGTCTCGTGAGCGCAGGGGCCGAAGATAGGAGAGTTTCGATAAGCTACTCTCCACCATTTGCCTCTCGCTTCCCTGCAGTGATGAGGGTTGTAAATTGATTAACAAATTATTCCGGGGTAGTGATTGGCTAGTAATGAAAGATGAGTTAATCCTTCCCCTCTTTGGTTATCAATTTGACACGTGATGTTGATGGTAGCAAATGTAAAAACAAAAACAAAAATACCGTAACACCGTGGATACCCCAAATCGCGAAATGAGAAAAGAACGACACAGGTATTCGTACAAGGAATTTTCTGTGTCTGGTGTGTGGTGTTAGAGGCGAGACTACTTTAAAATCTAGACTAAATTTTTTATATATATTTTTTGTATATAAGGGATAAAACATAAATAAAACACGTCTATAGTCATTTTATATTATTTACCTACATAGACAAACCAAATTGTTTATGGAGGTCTACTCTAAAATATTTTCTTGTGAGATAGATAGACGTACAGTATCAGATACGTGCATGAGCTTTTACCTCCTCTCAAAAGCCAAACAAAAGTAGATGATTCTCGCGATCCCCCATTAACAAGGTTTCACTGCACAAAGAAAATGACGAATTCAAACTGTAGACAGGAAACACGCAGGAAATTTAGTTTCTAGTTAGATGTTATTCCAAATTCTAATGAATACAGATGCGTGTGTATATTCTTGATTCATTTATGAAGTTCAGGGGAGGAAAGAGCAGCTGAAAGGTATAGAGAAAGAGGATATATGTCGCTATACGTACTTTCTACTTTAGTATAATTTAATTTAGGTTTAGTTACTTTAATAAGTTTAGTTTAATTGATGTCGTCTACTGTTTGGACTTACTATATGAACCCCATATTTGTGTAGATAATGTACATTATTTGATCGTATGTAGTAATAGTAGTCGGGCCAGAGAGAGAGAGAGAGAGAGGTGCCTAACCAATGCCTGCCAATCCAAGAGCACCGATATTTACCAATTTTTTACCATTGTTATTGTATCCTATTCTTACTGTACACACACTTACCCTTCACTCTTATCTTTGATCGATATCTCATTATCTCGTATTTATCACATCTTAATCCCGATATTCCAGTTACTAGCTTGCCTCACTCTGACAGGTGGTAGACGAGGGCCTGGAGGTGGTGGTGATGCATGAGGGTGGACGACTGTTGGCCTCAGGGTCACAGCTGGGTACGGTGTCCCTGCTGCACGTCCCTCCCAGGCTTGTGCAGCCATCAGACAGGCACGAGAAGGCTGCCTTTACAGCGGTGAGTTCCCAAAGGTATAATATATGACTACGGGTGTGGTGATGAGTACGGGTGTGGTGATGAGTACGGGTGTGGTGATGAGTACGGGTGTGATGATGAGTACGGGTGTGGTGGTGAAGAATACTGCACAGTGGGTACTACAATTGCCTTTAGTCTTTTTCTCCCCCAATTAAGGAAATCTATGTCTTAAATTGTAGATTAGAGAGGAATTAATATTTTTTTGAGTTACATATATACTAGAGAGATGATATCACAAAAATCTAGTCTTTTAATTGGTGGGTATAAACAGAATTGATGAATTAATGGTCACAGAAACGAAAGCAATATTTGTGATTGGCGGAGGCGAGTAATAAGCCACTTATTGAACTCTGTGGTTAGTGAAGTGACGAGGTGGTATTATTACAGATCCTTGAACGAGAGACTCGACGAGAGCGCGTCCTGGAGGCTAGACATAAGGAGCAGCGACTAAGGGATCGGGTCAAGATAGGAGCTGGTCGAGGAGGTGGTGGTGCATTAGGAGGACCAGGGGTAGACGTCGAGGAGGACGCTGAGCCCTCAGTCGACCCCATCAAAGAAGCTGAAGAGGAATACTTCAGACAGGTGGCTGAAGTGAGTTGTGTCTTTTGGTATGTTTATAAATGCGAGTATCCACAGTATATCCTGCTGCAGCCTGAAGAACAGTTTAATATCCACTATGAAATAAACTCCAGAAAATTCCGTTACCATGAGAGAATATTTATTGTGTTATTGTTTGTTCTTAGTTGAAGAATATGAATCTACGGAAACAATAAGAAAATGTCAGTCCAGGTAGAGTATGTGGTCGTTGTTTTCATTTGGATTTGCTGGCCGTCAGCCCCAGGGTCGTTACGTTCCTGAGCGTGTATAACCGTCGTGGACAGACCTGATGGCATAAGATTTGCTCAGTATTCGCAACACACAAATTTTATTTTAATTTTATAAGGAGGGAGCGTATTTAAATGAGGTATGTACGTTTATATATATATAGTCTTTCGCATAATTAAAATTTGTTTAATTCTAAAAGCATTTTTGCGAACGATCCTAATGCATTTTACGACTCATTCAACCGTATATTTTTTTCCAGGAAGTAAGATTTTATGGGCCTTTCATTCGGTGAAGCATTTGCCACTCAAGTACACTGGTCACGATATTAATTCTAGACATGAGTGTAGAGTTGAATTTATTTCTTGTATACTAACCCTAACACACTTAAAGATTTCACTGGGGAGAGAGAGCAACAACTTTACGGATGATATTAACAGGTATAGTACATAATCTTCGGGTCGTTAATTCCAGTGGAAATAACTTCTTGCCTGGATATAATAAGACTAGTGAGAATACGTGGAGATAAAAACTTATCCTTTATCATCTGTGGAGGAATTATCACCCACAGCTTATATGTGAAGTGGTGAGTGTTAGTGTTACTTTGGCAAGTCTTTGTGTCTTCCAGGAGTCTTGAGCAACTCTTGTGTATGTCATCAATACCTTGCCATCTCTTCCTGATATCTTGAGGATGTATTTATGCCTTCCTTAATATACTTTGATTTGTAGTGATTTTTTTTTCTCTTTTACTGTTGCTTGTACTCCGAACTTTCGTCCTGCTCTCAGTGTCAGGTATTATATTAATAACACCTTTACTAATTAATTATTATTTTCATAGTCAGCTAATTTGGAGGTTATTCATGAGGTGAGCTGATTTGATACTTAACCTTGTTAATAACAGCTCCAGGCGCAAATAGAGCAGGAGGATGCTGCCGCCGCTTCAGTAGCTGTCGAGGTCACTCATCCTCCTGAGGACGCCGGGTCGAATCCCCCAGCTGGGGAGGCTTCCAACTCTATGCAAGTATGTTTACGTTTGTGTTCTTGCATGGTTAGATCATCGGGAAGGTCTTCGTCGTAAGATAATTAATGAAATTCTGGTCACCTTTTGATGCTATTTCTGTTCACTTATTAAAAAATTCTGCTGTAAGGGAATGTTTTAATGAATACATCTCACGGAGACACACGTTTGTTCTCTTCCTGCGATTTTTATTAAAACAATAGTAACACATTTTCCATTTATTTCATATTTTTATGAAGTTCTGTTTCTAAAACTAGTAGCTCGGTATTAATTTTCGTTTCCTTATTTACCTCCCCGTTATCATTATCCTTGTACAGTTCTCCTAAATACTCTGTCAACATATCTTTTACGTCTTTACCTGAAAAATAATTTTTTTTTGTTCACTTTTTGGAATCCCACCCCAATTAAGACCTTTTTGTTGTTAATTTTCCTACACTCTTATCTCCCGTTATCATCATCTATCTCTTCACATTTGTTTTTAAGGAAAATATCATTAGTGTGCCTGGAATGTGAAGTTCTTTAGACATAGTGTTTCTTCTGATCAGCTTTCTTGTTCTATCCATTTTCTTTATAAACAGATTTGTGATCCAATTAGTTTTATCCTCTATTCTCTGCTGCTATATAACTTTCTTCTCTACTTTTTAATATATTTTTAATACACTTATTTGTTATTCTATTTCCTGTACTTCTAAGTATATATATATATATATATATATATATATATATATATATATATATATATATATATATATATATATATATATATATATATATATATATATATATATATATATATATATATATATACACATACACAAATTCTTACAAATTATTATCAGTGTAACGAATTCTAATTTCACTTTCAATTTAAATTACCTGTGTTGCATATTCAACAGAATTTTAAATATTTTAATAATATACTAAAAAATTTTCACAGTTTGTCTGAATCAGTCATTTTAAGTTTGTGTTACCTGTGGTGACTACAAGTTAAACATTATAGCTGTGTTGCATACTTTGATATAGTAATACATGCTTCTACGAATCACTTAGCTATTAGTTCTGATAATTTCTTTAACCCTCTGTAAATATTCCACACAATAACAGTTATAAACAACTGGATTACATCCCACTTAACTCTAAAGTGTTTCAGAGAATACAGCTGTCTCCTTATACTGTCACAGCTACGTGTCACCACTGTTGTCTTATGTGTTGCAGGCAGAGAGTGACGAGGGACTCACAACACACACAGATGTTGAAGAACCCAAGAGTTATTCCAGTAATGGTTCTGCTGAGCGCTAATACTACTACTACTACTACTTCTGTTGCTACTACTACTACTCCGACAAGTCTACTTCTGCTACTACTACTGCCGATATTACTTCTTCTACTACTACTACTACTACTACTACTACTATTAGTAATATTACTACTATTATTAGGATTTATACATCTTCTACTACTATTAATATTGGTATCACCAATAATACTAATATTGTTAATAATAATAATATAATTACTATTGCTGTCATTATTGTTTAATATAATTTCCTACATGAAGTATAGCCATTTAGGAACCTCAACCATGGTGACTTAGCTTACCTTGAGACTACGTGTTGCTTCCCATCTACTCTTTAATCAAGAAGTTATACACCAGGTTAATAATTAAGCGTGTAAATTAATCAATGAATCATTATCAGTAATATTGGATCGTTTAATTTATCCCGAGAGTATTCTGGAGGCATCTTTATCCTTTAACTAACTCAAGAGATTTTTCAAGTAGCCTTGGGCCCCTGGGGGCGCCGCCGCCCCTGGCAGAGACCCGCCGCCCCTAGAAAGGCACCCTCTGAGACTAGGAGGGCCCATAGCAGCCCCGCCGGCCTAGGAGGGCCCACAGGGGCGCGGCAGCCCCTAGCAGGGGTATT